ATATGGTATGTATACTAGTTGCATTTGTCTCAATGTAATAATAAAGATTTCAGAAAGGAAGCCTACAGGTGTTATCCAGCTTTGACCTTGACAGTGACACATGGTGCAATCAAAAATCAATCCACAGCTCCACCTTGTGGGCATGGTCACGTTCTGCAAGAGGGAGCACACAATTGTTGGGATTCATCAAACGCCCCGATGAGCTGAGATACTGGCTTTGTTTAAATGTAAATTTTTTTTTTTTGTTAACCACAAGATTCTTACTAAAACATAGCAGGTGCTGCATTTTAGGGGATAAAACCTGTTCATATGAGTGAGATCATCACAAACGCACCTATGTGGCACCAGATATATAGGTAATCTAAAATGAGTCTACTTCCTCCTCTACTAATTTTAGATCACGCCACAGTGGAAGAGGAAGGAAGGAAGGAGGGAGGCAAAAGAGGTGCCAAAAGAGGAAGAGACGGGGAAGGTCACAGTAGTAGCTGTGCCACCAAGGTGAGTAATCGTGTGCGTGTATGTGTGAGTATGAGCAGGAGGAGGGTCTGGATAGGACAAAGAGGACGCGCCTGCCCACACAGATGACCAGAGAGCAAGTATGCCAGTGAGCCGGTGGCTGCCAAATAATCCGACGACAGCAAGACCGCCAGCCGGAAAGTCAGCCAGCTCCCCATGCACGCGCACACGCGCGCGCACGCACACACACATTCACACAGCCAGCCAACGATCCATGCCTGCAAGATGTGTTACTTTCTGCTGCCAATACCAGCAGGCCGGCAGGCAGACCGAGAGCATGAAGACACTTCGGAGCTGCCTTATCTGGCCTTTAGCTGTATCAGAGAAACACTGAACAACTTGGCTGGATGGGGAAAAACTTTTACCTCGCTTACTGATGCATGGGCAGTGTTGTATAACAAATGCATCAAAGCATATGATGGACTCATATTTCACAGTAGATACTCTATAGATTTATGATTAGACAATTTGGAAATCTCATCTTTTCCAGTTATCTCTGCGTAAACAATTATGTTAGACAGCCCAATTTTGTCACTTGTCTATTAAACTCACCATCCATGGAGGTTTTCAGGGCAAGCATTGGCAAAATAACTTGATGCGAAACAATATCTGAAGACATTTTGGATGACAACTTACACTACATACACAAACGCTCCATAAATGCTAGGCTAGTGCTTCTTCCAATTTAAGGCGTTACACAGGTTCAGCTATTCTTAAAGTAAACTCCACAGCATCTTCCTGGAGGCGTATTTTCTATATCCTAACTTTATGCAATTTATGTTCTTTCCGTTAGATTTCTGTTTATTTTGTCACCTTGAACTCTTCACTATGTTACTATACATACTACATATACTATACTGTGTTTCTGTGGGTTCATCATATTCTGTGGTACTGGTTTTATTTGATGGAAAACTGAAGCATACAACTGTGTGAACACCATTAAAGCTTCAGTAAAAATACGTAGACAAACGCATATGATCTCAGCCACACAAATGTATCCCTGTATTATTCTGCAGTGAAAAACCTCTTATGTTTAATGGCTTTGATTATTTGTCCGGTTATTTGAACATCTAATAGGCTTTTTAAACATCTGGTGCTAGATTTGACTCTTTTTATATCCAAAAGTAAAAAAAGGAGCATCTGAAAGTGGTTTCTCCTCATAGCACTCGTCTTCATCAGGGTTATACAAGCTATTTGCTGCTTGCATTGCTATTACTATACACCTCCCAGAGCCATTTATTTGGATAATATCCTCATTGAGACGAGCATGCCGAGCACCAAAATAGGCTTGTAATTAAAAGATGCCGGGGATTCTGGAGAAGAAAAAAAAAGAAGCCGTGTGAGTTATTAAGGTCCTTCCTGTGGTTTAAAAACCAAACGGCACCTGGATGCTGCTCGCTTCTCCAAGACTACCAAATGACACACACACACACACACACCACAGGAAGAGAGAGAGAAGAGAACAGAGTATGCAGGCCAGAACACACCACAAACATGCAAGTAATTGACAGATACAGACGCTGCTCACTCAACACCTCACCCACTCCACACCCACACCACACACATCACGACACACACACACACACACACACCAACACACACACCACCACAACGCCTCCACAAACACATACAGAGTTGGCACATCGGGTGAGGTAATGTTCCCTCCCTTCTGCCTTCCAAGCACACTTCCTCTGCCTGGAATAATTGCTGCCTGGCTGCTTGTCTGGGAGAGCGAGCTGCTCCGTTCATTAGTTGCTCTAAATATCAGACACGGCATCACTTTTAAAGGCTTAATTTCTCTGCAGTCACAGCCCTTCTCTCTGATCCTCGCCCGCCGAGAGCCGCAGAATATGCTCCTGTTCTCGCAGGCATGACCTAAATAGATAAGTAGTAAATGAACGGGGCCCTTTCTTTTGGCAACCGTGGAGAAATTAACGGACAGAGATGAGAGCAGACGAAAAAGGGGAGCGCTTGTGGTGGGAGGGTGTCTAAACTCGAGTGGAGCGGCAGTGGAAGTGATTGCGATGGTATCCGTGTTCTTTTTAAAAGCGGGAAAAACAAGACGTCCGTTTCCATGGAGACCAGCAAACAGTCATATTTCTTAAGGGACTACTGGGCTTCCTGCGGTGCTTAGTGATTAGCTCATTCAGATGCTGCAGACACCTGAGGGAGATGGCTCATACTGCTGGTCTTAGAGCTGGGAGGACAGGATGTGCACGGCTCACTAGACCAGACCTGAAGTCGCTTCAGACACTAACAAGGCGCATTTAACCTCCAGCTTGTCTCCGATTCTGCAACACCAGTAAAGCTGAGAGGGACAAGTGGGGAAAATATGATGTCATGTAAATTTAGCCATATATCAGAGCAGGGATGAAAACCCACCACTAAACAACAAGGTGACAAGGGATATTGTGTATCAGACTTATCATCAATGTTAACATAAAACAGAGTGAATGTGTGATAACTTAAAGCAAGCACTTGGAGCTGGTCAAAATACANNNNCACTTTTTCACACCACTGTACATCTGGCCACATTAACAACTATGTATGAATGCAATGTATTTTCATCTTCATGTAAAGAAACTACAATAATGAATCAAACCAACACTGCCCTCAGCAGCCTGGACACTAATTAAGAGCAAAGCATTGGTCAGTTTCACACATGCGCCTTTTTCTGTAAATGCTCCAGTAAATTTACAATCAGCTTGCATGTTTGAAAAGTACCACAAGCTGTTTTTTTTTTTCCGATAAAAGTCAGATAGAAATTGCTCTGGCAGCCTGCATCTCCCTCTGTACAGTAGGTCAATGTGAATATAAAGCAGCCATTTTAATGGACGCAGCACTTACAAGGACAAGTTCTTCTTGGACATACAAATACAATAAAACACACATGTATAAATGCATGTTTTGTGCTGCCTTCGTAAGACAACAATATATTACATTTCACGTCAAGTAAATTTAAATAAAATAACTTTTTTAAAGAAATGCAAAGCAAAATTCAGGATTTGAAAAGGAAGTGAGTGTTTTATTGTGTAGTATTTTTTTGTTGACCAGTGTCATAAATGCCTAATTACATTTACTGTTTTATAATGACTCAAGTATATTCTATGTTAAAGCAGCTTACTAGGTTGTAACTATATACAATACTAAGAGTATAGTCCAAGATGGTCAGATTTCTACTGGACCCTCTTAGTTACATGTTTTGTTCCACAGTAATCTGAGTGGAAAGAGTATGGCATTGGAGGGGAAAGTGAAACATGATAAAAGTAGTCCTTGTTTTGAGTTGCTTTGACAACTCAAACAAGGAAAACACAGGGGAAAGAAACAACAGCTCTCTCAGAACATGTTAGTCAGGGGTTGAGTGAGGTTTGAAACCAAGAGCAAATTTTAAACTTAAATAACAACAACCACAATTTATAAAATAATATCAAATGATGGTTTATGGAAAATTTGCAAGTGTAACCATATCATCCTAGTTATAACTGAAACTGTTCTAATTTATTTTTTTTCTGTTTGACTTGGGGTGATTTTATTAATGAAACTGGTTTGCTTTGCTGGTTTGTCGGTAGTCTAATGACATCTTGTCACATGGACTCCTACATCCTACAGTTTTCATAGCACAATGGAGAGAACATATATGTTCTCAGGCTTAATGCACTAGAAGAAATCATTTCAGTCTCACAAGAAGTGCCTCCGTCGCACAGTGACTGTATGTCAAACACAGTACACACACATCACTCCCTGTCCTGTCCTTGGAGAAAACAAGGCAGCTTTTATTGTCCGACCTATCCTTGGAAATTATAGGCACCTCTTGTCCTTGACAGCATGACACATCATCCTGGATGTTCACCTTTAGGCTGACAATGAACAGAGCTTTAAAATGTGACAGCAATGGTTGAAGCATAAGTCAGTGTTTGCGTATATGGTATGTGTGAATGTGTGTGTATATGGCGTTGACAGAGAGGCACAGACAGCGTGTGCAAGCACTGTATGTAAGCTACTGTATATAGTGATCAGGTGCCTATAGGTCTAACAGTTTCAGAGTCCAAAATTAAGATGCAGGGAAAGTTGGGTCTTTGGTGGCTGACTGGATATAACATTGGAATGCATTTGTTATATGCAGCCTTTGGTATTTTTATGTTAGTTCACTGTGATCAATAGGGAAACTTGCCATCTCTGACCAAATAAAAAAAAGTGGCCCAGAATCTCACAATTAGAATGTTCATCGTTTACCCTCTTCTTTTCTGTTACCTGGATGATAAACTTAAACAGTAACATACAATAGGAGACACGACGCTACTACAAAAAACAAAAAAAGACGGCCTATAAAATCTGTTGCATATAAGAGTGATACGTTTTATATGATTGTTGCTACATTGATTATTTCATACAACTCTTGTTCTAACCATAAATAACAGTAAGGTTAACATACTACATACTACATGAATGTGTGAGATTGTGCGTCAGAGCTGTGGTCAACATACCGTCACCTTCTCTAAATCAGCTTCTGAGGAGGTGGGAGACAGGGGGCTGATGGGACTGAGGGAAGGGGAGCTCCCGACACTGGAGACGTACTCGGGATCAGGAACGTACAGTACCTGCAAACACAATCCATGTCTGTATTTACACAGGCGCTGCCTTTGTGCAAACACGCATTGCACACCACACATGCACGTACAGGGAGAAATGTGAGAATCTCTCTCACACACACACATATGCACACAGCCCAACCAGATGTTTGACATGGCAAATAAAATAAAATCAAGAATAAACAGAGAAAAGGAGAGTGAAGGTAAATCAACATGTGAGAATTAGCAGCAATCTGAACTGATGGTTTTCATGTAGTTAGAACACATGCAGTAACTGAAGGCAATGCTTTACATTAAGTTGGAGTGTGAGTATCTGTATCTGTTGTGTAATGTAATGACAAAAAAGGGGAATGGCTATTGAAAGGTACTTTCTTGCTGCAAGTTAGGTAAGAAGACTGATCCCGTAAATCATGGTAGGCTTTCTGCCTATAATTAAAAATACAGGGATCCCTGTGATAGTACTGTGATATAAGAAGCGGTATCTCTACAATGACTACTTCTGTAGGGATCATTCAGGATTGGCATGTTTGGACCTTTACAATATCTATTATAAGAGAAAATAGATTAGGAGCTAGTAAAGCCTTAAATGTGGTAATAAATTTCTTTTTAGATTGTAGATTTTTGGCTTGCACAAGAATTTAGATGAAACATCAAAGTACAGCTACAGCTACATCTACCTCTAAGTACAGCTTTAGGGTTAAAGAAATGAGCTGTTTTAGATGCAGCAGAACTTGTGCTTCAGGAGCTGAAGGAGAGGAGGGATGCTGGTTCAGTAAGTGCTCTCCACCACCCCACTGTTTGGACGCAGCTCAACTCATTGTTTGCCGAGAGCTGCCAACGGGATTTGCGTATGCATCTCGTCTCCATTTGTCTGGATTTCAAATTGATGCCAAGAAATACAGAGACAAAATATCGTTTTTTGGATGTTTGTCACATTCCCCCATTAAAAAAAACTAATTTAGAATTTGTCTACTGGGTCTATTGCCGTAAAGAAGGAAAAAACTAACGTGAAAGCCAGGGAAGCTGGCAGTGTATTTAGAGGGTTAAAGATGGGAAGCTTGTGTCATGTTGTCGGAACTAAAGCGTCTATGGGAGCATTAAGGATCACACATATTATTATACCTTTTTAGAAACAAAATAGGTCCTTTGCAATGAATTGCATCCTAATGGGACAAGTGACACTGTAATTAGCAGGCAATTAAGTGGGGATACAGATCGTAGGGATGTGAACAGTGAGTCAGCAAACTGCTCTGAGAAAGTAGGAGGATAAACACACGCAGCATGTTATGTTCCCACAAAAACCTTCTATCTCCAGTTTTTCCACCTACATTCTCACATGTGCTGTAAAAAATGTTTACTGATTGTGCGATCAAGGCCAATGATTGGGAATGCATTATGAACTGTCAAAACAGCTATTACGAGTTTAACCGGTTGGTGAGATGCTGTAGATATGAGGTTGCTGTTAGACAGTGATGAAGTGATGCAGCTGAATATATCAGTGATGGCGTGCACGGCGGTTCACACCTGGCCAGGCACCACTGCTCTGGAGAATAGCTTGTTCAGCTGAACCAGTTCGTTGGGTGTGGTGTCAAACTTGAGCGCAATGCTGTTCAACGTGTCCCGCGATTCCACCTGGACCACAAAACAAGAGAGAGGAGACAAAATCACACTCCTGCTTCTGTTCACGGCATTTCCAGAAAGCTGTACAGGGAAGACTTGGAGATGATGATGAGAGGCAGAGAGAGGAAAGATGAAAAACGGTGCAAAGCTGTGCACTTATTACTTCAAAAGGTTTTAATGTTGCTTGATTTTTGCATGTTAGATTTTGGGATGTTATGCAAATTAAAGCTGTCAGTTGTTGACCAGGAATAGATTCCCACGGGAAGCAATGTTGCTGGTAGAAATATGAACTGATATGAATGTCACCAGCAGTCATTTAGCAATGTCTACCTTTTTTTTTTTTTTACTTTAAATCAGTGAGGATGCTTTTATGTGCACAAATACAGCTATGCATGAAAATGATTATCTTTTTAATTACAAGAGTACGTTTGTCACGGTGCAGGTTAATGTTAGCAGTTCTGTCCTGCTCTTTATTGTTGTTGAATTTTCTAAACTGTTGCAACGTTAACAGTGAAAAGCAATTCTATTAAATCAAAATCAATGTTGTCTCTTAATTCTATGTCTTTCATGGGCAACAGCAGATACAATCTGCCAGTGACAGTTGTCATTTATTTTAAAAGATGTAGCTTTTGTCTACCTAGTTTGAAATTATTTTCTTTTTATTTTCAGTGGTAAATCTGCCATCATTATCATTGCAAACTGCACGTGTGAGAATGGAAAGCTCGACAGTGTAGCAACAGTAACTGAGGTGGGGCTTAGCAAAACATAGTTTGTCTGACCAACAGCTGTAAGCCTAAAGATATTCAGATTACAAGAATA